TTGAAGTGCTGCCAACGATACTTAACCGGTACTAGCGTATTTGGGAATGCTATCATGGGTTTACTGGTAATCGATTGTACTAACAGATAACCAGCTTAAACAGCGGCCGATGCAGATTTAAAAGCCGATTCTGCCTAATCCTAGCGAGCGTACAGAATCATCCATAGACGACAATTGTCTTTGTCGATAGCTACAATTGGCTAAATCCAAACCGGATTATGACGAGGTAAATGAGTCCACCTTTATTCTGATTTCATTGGACGTTTTATAATTAATAGTGAACGTGAAGATTAGCTATTCACTACGCATGCGTCGTACAGATAAACGGAACCCATACTATAATAATGTTATTATAGAACAATGGCTCGTTTTAACAACCTATGGCATTTTTTTTTAGTAGATCAGGCAAATACTTCGCTACTGGTTAACTCACATAACTACGCTCTTCCCTCCGTGGAGTCAGCGGCGAGATAGAAGAAATGATGTTTAGCTATAATCACATAATTTAAAATTGACAACGCAGTGGTTCCAACATGATGTTGAAACAAGAGTTTTATTTCCGTTTCGATGATGCTACGTTAATAGATAGTTTCGTAAGAGTGTGATCACAAGCAAAACATGGTCGATTTAGAAAAAATATCAACAATATATGGAAAATTACTATTTTATGCGATATCGAGCTCTGCCGCTGTTTGGTAACGAGTCACCATCTTCGGCGTTCATGCATTTGCTATATGGGCGCTAAAACAGAGCAGACAGCCAATAATGTGAATTCGCCCCCCAAATAGATTGACACCAAGCTAACTATAGAAATAGCAGTCTGCCGTTCAACGCTGCACGATGTAACCATCCCGGCAATTGTTTCTGCGGATAAAAAAATATGCCGTGTGATGGTCTGTCTTACATCTCAACCTTTGCTTTTTCGTTGTTCTCTTTAGACTATAGCATGTTACGGTACCTAGAAGGGAGAAGTCTATTTAGAACTCTCACGTTTGGATTTCTACCTAGCAGCTAGCTAACGAATTGGCGACAATAGAAAAACGATTCCAGCCATTTGCAATTACCAGCCCTCACTCACATGAAATGACCACATCGTGAACACCAGCAGGTCGTCAACAGGAGCAATGACAACAACTGCTTCTGGCGGAACAACGATAGCAATAAAAATGCAGCAAAATATGGCTGGCTCCAGGTCTAGCGGGATCCAGTTCTTCATGACGAAATTGTTGAAGAACCATGTGCACTTTTTGATATAGATTTCATTCACGTTGTCGCTTGCCACATGTAACAACGATCAACCACGAGTCCAGCCAGCTCATTGCAGCTGTCTACTTAACTGTTTTATCCAAAAAACCACGAGGTACACTACCGTCACACATTTCCCGCCCATTCGCTGACGCTGATTATGGCCATGACGAGGTCCCAGATGATTGCGGTTCTGTAGCGGGGCAACAGTGAGGTGCGCCGTTGATTCGTCCGACAATTTAACATGCTTGGCCAACGGGGCTTGCGCGCAACTTTGTACGGACGACAATGTCTTTTCTATGTATTTCTCAGTTGTAGAAGAATTTTCACTAGTACTTCCATTCACTCGTTCATTGTTTTGTTAGGGGGCCCCCTCCTTGTCCTGCAGCGAGGTCCAGCTAATGAAGTAGGTTACATTTACCAAAACGAATGTCATGCCAGTGCGAACATTCCACTTTTTAGCTCCACATGGTAACTATCTATGTGCAGCACGATTCAATATCAGCGACTTCAAAACCGATCCGCAACAAAGATTCAACACGCTCATGGCAGCCGACTATATCAGTAAACGTCAGATTTTTAGCAAGGCAAACCACATACGTATGCGATATTGGTCGCAACGCGCTGATAGGCTCTGGACGGACAATAGACTTTTGTATATCGTCTCGGATATTGAATGCCTCAAATAACAAGCTTCTGATTAGGATTTTGTAAATACTATATGGTCGAGCGATGCTGTCACGTATAGCAACACCTAGGTATTTGAGCTCACCCTACTGAACAAGATGAAGATATTCATTGATGATAACGATACTGAATTGAAACTAGCATCTCCGATAAATCTTCAACACAACTCGATTAAAACAAATGTCGAGTATCTTGGAATACCGGCGTTATGCGCTACCAGCTAAAATACAGACGAAGGCTTTGTAAGAATCGTATACACAAACGCTATCAAGAACATCATGGCTCACATACGATACTCGTTTTGCGATTGTAGAAGTCGTCTCGTTGATTAAAGCCCATTTCTATTATCGAATATGTATAACTAAAACCCGTATGGCAGACAGATAATTTAACGAGACTGAAATGGAGCGCCCGTTTTGCTTAGAGCACTTGGCTCCCATTCTAGGTCGGCAGTACTACAAATCATATTGAATCAGTATTCAATCTGTCCTAAACTTTACTCTGACTCTACCGTGCGACAGCTTGCGTACTTCAGAGTAGGTTAACTTTTACTCAGAGCTTGAATCAGATTTCATTTTCAAGCATCGGAAGTCCGCGTTCGGTGCAAATGGAAGAAAATACCCATAGAAATTTAACGCATTCATAAGCTTCGTACTTCGAAACACCACCTTCCTGTTCTGTATTTGCCTGTTAGAAATTTTATATCATATAGATAGAGCACTTCATGTATTTAATCTGCGAATAGACTGTGAGCCCTGGTCACGCTATTTTGTCACTGTTGCTGTATTAGGCACCCGTTAAATACATTTTCTAGATCGCTGCTTCAGTCCCTATCTTTTACACAACTTCCGAATGTCGCTCACACATACGAACATCTAAAAATGATAGACAATGTAAATATATAGATAGAAAAAGCAAGGCTCATCTATACAAATTTCTATTTTCTATTTTTGCAGCGTCCATATTCTCTCGTGTGCTTGCCAAGCTCTATATGAACACTTCATACGGAACTGAGCAGGAAGTTGATCACGTTGACCAGAAAGCTCCCAATCTGAGTAGCTTTCGTGACTATTAAGCCAGCAAAATCAGGCCGCACGTATACAACAGACTACTCCGCTATCCGGCTTCACAGATGGTTGGTAACGAGAGCTTTTTAGACCTAGCTGCTGATACCAGCACGGTTTACTGTGGTCTCGCCGTCACCAGCGTCTACAGCCCACGCCGCCCCCGCGCGCTACCCACCACAATCGATATTCCCAGCTTGGGTCGACCCTAATCTACTGTTCATGCCCCTCAATAGCCCTCTATTGGGTAATAGAGAAGGAAGAAAGCTACCGCCAGAGCAACTCCTCATCGGTCTCGCCCCGCCGCTCGTTGGTCCAGTGTCCTCTCATCATACTCTGAAGTGTAGACACATGTTCTGTTATCTGCTATGACAGCAACCAAGCGGCCGGAGCTAGCCGACCTGGTCTTGTCTGCCAATTTACCAGTCATAAACTGCTGTTCTGTAGGCTGCGAGCGAGTCGCACAAATTGAGAAAAAGTTATTAGAAAAAGCAACATTTCCTGATTCACCAAACCTCACTGACACAACCACACACACGTTTATAGCCCCTTTCGTATATATAGGTATATACAGGTGTGGGTGTCTAAACATCCTGTTCCGTAGCTAGGGGCAACAGGACGCCGCACCTGGCCTTCGTTGCTGAATTTCAATACGGCTGTTTTCGATGTCACCTGTCGTGTTACGTGCCGTACACAGAGTTCCTGCACAGAGTGACAGGAGGTCAGTGAATGATGTAAAGCATCCACGGGGCAAATCTGCTTGTGATAGTGATATAATGTCTATTGTTATTGTTGGCGTGGCTAGTTTCGGGGCAGTCATTTATTAAAGCGCAGCTGCCTGTCAGTTTAACATCCGTGATAAAATAACAACATTATACGACACAGCTTTGAAGCATGTTATGCTCTATGCATGAACTGCCCATTGTAGTTACCTTAATAAAAACCTCCTATTAAGTAATTCTAGGACAGTTCATATTCACGCAAGTGTTCAGCATATAAAAGATGGCGAATCGCACCGGACTAGACAGTTGACATAAAAGTCTAGATAAGTGGTTGTTACGGCTTAGAAACAGTCGTCGGCTTTTTTTTTGTTTGTGCACGAGAAATAACTTACTAGAGACATGACCGACAATGTTCAGGTAGATCGACGGGATGAGGCCTGACTTTTCGGAAATCAAAATTAGATTTCTGTAAAATAAATTAAATTAAAAATTCGAGGAAATAATATCATCATTCGAGCATAGATTATCTCGAAGGTTGTGAGAATGTTTATGCAGTAACGTACACCGATTGACTCTTGGACGTAATTTATGGGAAAAAATACTTTTTCAGGTAAGCTTGCGCTCGTGAGTATCTGTTTTTTTTCCTTTCGAAAATTCATTGGATTGAAAGATATCCAGGAGTACCAACGCACAGTTTTAAGGTAGATGTTATCCGCTCCAAATTGAGTGCGTACAATTATGGCATTCTAGATTTTCCTAGCAGTAACCGATACGAGCTCAACTAACCCTTGCTTCTAAGATGTATTAGAAGGAATACGCTGCTTCTAAATTTGGGATCTGGCCTATTCTTAATAGGCTCGACTTGGACAACTTCCGTAATCGTTTTCATGTTTCGTAGAAAATCCATGATAATTTGCCCGGTAGGATAGATCCCATCCCAATCTGGCAAAACATGATCGAGCAGGTCTCGAACCCATTAGTTACTTCACGGGATAGTTAGCTGCTTGCGGATGGCGGACGCAGTTATTACATGAGTTTCGGTGCATTTATTCAAGAATTATTTATATTCCAACCAAGAGACTGTTGGTTATAGCCAATCGCTAACCAGCCATAATCTTTATCAGCTAATATGATCTGTAGTAATACTGAACAGAACTACTAGAAACACAGACGACTTTACCTAGCAAGAACGCGTCAAAATAGTTTCAACGTTCTTGAGTAAGTACCAGTCAGTGTCAAGATGAATTTTCTCAGCTGTCTCTAATTTTATTTCTTTGTTCGTTTACCTGATCGGAACTGTCTGCCGCTTTACAAGAAGTACCGCTGGCTTACCTTAGTCCATTCTTTATTTCTGGTTTACGTTATAGGCGTTCCTTTTCGAAAAAAAAAACAAAATTTCTCCTTACTTTACGGACATTTTTTTTTCTGACTGCCTCCAACATACGCCGATGTTATTTGCGTGTGCAGCTTTGTTGACTCTGACGATCTTGGGATGTCTAAAGAGCTCGGAACAATTGGTGAGCCGGAAGTGCTTTGAAACCCAGCATCAAAGCTTTTGTGCTTATCGATGCCCCTCTTTGGTATTTTCTTTTTCTTGCTGTTCCATGCTCGTCCTAGGCGAACTATTTCCAACTCGACAAACCCCCAATACTCCTCCAAAGTGTTCACGTTCTGCTGATACTTTTGCGACAGGTCGACCAGCTCTGCCAGGTCCAACTTGATACCGTTCTCAACAATTTGCTTAATGATACCACCGGAATAGCCTTCTGCAAAATTTCGTAACAAAACAACAGACGTAAACTCATGTTTGTAATTAATAATCTAAGTAAATTAGTCCTGAGTTTCATAGACAGAAGTGCAAATAGCCGTTGTTTTTTGATAATCCGGTTTGTTCCTTTAAATCTAAAGCCGATGTGGCAAATTATGAATACATAGTCGCTACGCCAATAAATTCCGCCCATCGCGACAAGTTTCTCCTGAGATTTATCACGGAAGCCACCACATTATTACAGTGACGGTAGAATATTTTGATTCGGATTTTATTCCCGCCAGATCGGTCGAGCAGTTAAGCTCAGGGCAGCGCTGAAAGTGCCACCGGTGTTTTGGGGTAATCTTAGTTCAATGCTACTTCGGTACCCTGTTTCGGCCAGAAGAGACGAGAAAAATCGTCTCAGCAAGATCATTACGATCATCTCAAGCCTGCGCTAAAGTTGAAAGGTGGCAACGGCGCTAACAGAACTAGCAGACAATAAAGTAAGGGAAAACATTATCGCTTTGAAAGCATGCTGACACAATAGTTCCGGTAAAATATCAACCACTTATAGTATCTGCCCGTCGTCAATGTATGCGCTTCTTCAACCACTATCACCTTTAGAAATCTCTGTACGAAGTAAACCTCTATGAGTCAACGATTGCGCACTGTTCAGTGTTACGTGTGTCCGTTACTTGTGTGCTGGATTCACACGGAAGTTGTATACGCCAAATTTAGAATTTGTCCAAGCCTGGTTGACTCTGTTCTAACATTCTGACACCCCGTGGCTCGACTACAATCTTCTATATTCCTTCTGTTCCCTGTCGATTTGATGCTATACCGGAAAGGCGCTATGGCTTTCGCAGAGGCTAATTTCACTCGTTGAATTTTTGTCCGTTAAGTTAATTATACCTCTGAAGCTACCTATGAGTAGCAAGAATAATCACATCTGTTAAGTTGTGCTGAAGCTGTAAATGCCAACCTCAATCACCATCGTTGTTTGCCATCACAGAACGGTACAGGTCACCACAACGTATGCTGCTGTGCGCAAAGCTTCGATGAACTCTTCCGTATCAACAGCCATTAGTCTATAGTTTTTGCTATACATGTTACTCGGCTTCCTGTACGTTCTCATAATAAAATACCTTTATATATATGTATATAAAGTCATTAATTCATAGGTATAAGTATTGTGTAGAGCTTATTGTTCAAGCTTGGGCAATCCGCATAATCATCACTCATGTGTTATCAGTCAGACTTGTCAAAAGCAATGAGAATGACACGAATGTAAAGAGCTCGATTTGCTACCTATCTATCTATCTATCTATCTATCTATCTATCTATCCAGCAACAAAATTCCTTCGCCCATAATTATTGAAATTTGATTTTTCAATCGGCCTACAGTTGAGACATTGAAACGGGTCATTATGTTAGCGCCCCCAACAACAGTGCTAGACATTTTATTTTTTGTTATTTGGCATTATATTAAAATCAATTTTCCTTTGAGGACCGTTGGGACACTGGGTCAATGGCTGTGGCGTATTCCACCTGTCACATTAGTTAAGGCTTCCTCGGTTAGAGTCTTATAATAGGAATAAACTCGGATGTGCGTACGCGATATTATACGTAGAAAGATATCAGAAATACTAACAGATCTTTTACACGTTAATGATAATCGTGTTTGCAATGGTACTTGCCTGTTACCCGAACCTGTTATGCTTTAATTGTAAGATATTACGCGAATTTATTGGCGTCAACTGGACGCGCGCCCCTCCCCCCCTTATGTACCCACCCAGATCATTAACGAAGTCGATCATTTGCTCAAGGGTTATGGGCGCGGTTTTCGGCAAATGAAGTTTTAGGATGGCGAGGCGCTCAACGGCGTTCGGCAGTGGCATTAAAATCCGTGTTTCGAACTGATCAAGTAGCTCATCTGGAAGCTCCCATGGCTTGATACATGTTGCTACAAAGTTGACATTTTCCACATTTTCCGCAGTCTGAGTGCGCAGATATTTCACCTTCTCCGCCAGAAGCTAAGTACCACACGAGGAGCAATATCGTTCCGGATGACGTTAGTTACAATTTCGAAATTTGGGCATATGAAGGCTATTTTTATATACTATAAAAATAAAAAAATAGAAATATAAAAAAACTGTTGACTCGTGCTTTATACTAAAGCACGAGTCAACAGTTGCTATCCAAAGATATGGGTAATTACGGGACGGTAAATGTAACGAACAGTGGATTTACTAAAGTGTAGTCTATCGTGTAATGACTAGAGTGCATAATTGGCGCGTCTAGAGCAAATAATAATAGGGGCTTCCTAAAAGCCGATGGGTTTTGTCGCAATCGTGGGCATGTTATGATATGTTGCTTCTGCACGCACTAAACCGTCTTCTTATTGTCGCCGCTTACGGTAACAGTTTCCGGATGGGTCCTGATCTTGTGCAAATCGTCGACAAGAAGCACGGCTGGTGAGTAACAGACCGCCGAGAAAAACGCCAATTCCAAAAATGTCTTATCGGCGGTCAACGCGTGAACGTCAAGACGTAGACAGCGCCAGGGTCTGGCCACGCAATTTTCTAGAACCTTTTTCATAATCAAATAGCACATACCATTAATTGTATCCGAATAGAAGCGTATTTCTGATTTAGCGTCATAGTATTGTAGGTTTATAGGTGTCAAAAGGTTAGGTCTTACGTCGTCAAACATTGAAAGACGAAATTCGCAGCAGCGCGTTAATTAGCAATCGCCGCGACGAACGGGCTTAACATATCTACATAAAGCAAAAACCACATTTAACTGAAACTGGGATAAATTGCGAAGCCGTTATGGTTCAGAAAGGCAATTAAAAACTAACTCTGAGTAGAAGGGACTTCCCGACACCGTTTGGACCGTAGAGAAGTGTGGTCCTTGGCATTTGGATTCCGCCAACTTCAGGATATCGCCCAGTTGCTGCTGCCAGGGCTCCCTTCGCCAGCTGATGACCTGATGTGATATCATAAGATGTATAGGGGATATGGGACGTGTCACAAATGGCGCCTGGATCTCAGCACTAATAGCTTATCCAGTATATCACTCGGTAGCTCATAATCTGTTCCGAACAATCGCGGACTGATACAGCTAGAAATAACTGTCATGTATGTGTGTGTATGTATATATATATATATATATATAGAATATGTAAAATATATACTATATGGAAAATGTAGTGGTACTATGAAAACAGAACGCTTTGAAAGGTTAATACCAACTACGGTGCGCGGTTCGAGGCAGTTAGAGTTGATGAGTTGGATCCCGGGCGAATTCGAAAAGTAAAAATGCGGTCCGTGTAATGAAGGTATCTTCGATACATCTGGAGCTTTTTCTTTTAATATTTTGCTAAGAGAAACGGTGAAGAAAGTATTCAAACAGTTTATATGCAACATATAGATACTCTACGATACCTGTCTGGGAAGGTCTAGGAAGAGCACGAATCAACACGATTTGCGACGGTAAACGTGACTAGAATATTGGTAGTTCGTGTAAAGTACATAAATAAGTACCAATAATTATCTTTCAACTAAAGGCCACACTTCCAGCTTTGCGCAGATACCGCAAGGACACGAGTGTGTGAATCAGAAGTAGGTGCTAGCATACGATCCAAAGTTTTCACCGCCAATGAAATATAGGGCCTACTGTAAGGTGACGTTGATACTGATCTTGGCCGTAAGCATCTTTGTTGATCATGCGATTCCGCGTACGTGTTCGAAAACATTAAATCTCCACACAGCATAGAATGATTTTTAGGGAAAGTCGAACGGCTATAGCAGAACTGTTGTGTTCGTATCTGAAGTATATTGACCTCGATGCAGGGACGGGTAGTTGAACAAGTCGTCTCGCTCACGTACCTTTTCAAGTTACACATAGCCAAAGCATGCTGATTGACTAGCTGTAATTGTAGAAATTTTGCCGACAGAGAGTACATTAAACGTAACAGTGTGTCGAGTTTCTCCCCCGCGCTATTTGTTGGCAGAGTATCCAAGATATCCTTCACATACTTCACAAACGACATCGTCTTCGTTGTCCCTCACGTTTAACCTCAATTGCGGGAGAAAGCCCACGAGACGTTCACAGTCTAGGCGTTGACTTTAGTATCTAGGGGCTCCGAGTGATAAGTACGTAGAACAAACAATAAAGCCGTATAATAAAACGAAGCCGTTCTATTTCTAATAAAATACAATTGTCCTGTTCGCCAGCGTAACCAAAATTACTGTGTATGTACATCGAATACATAGATGGCGTTTCAGTATTATCGTAGCACTTCCAGCATTTTGTGTTTTTCGATCTTTTGCTTATCGAAAAGATGCGCTGGACGCGTTCGGTAATTGTCCCTGTGCATGTCCCTCCCGATGCAACATGTCGTAACTTTAACGGTATTCTTAGTGATACCTGTTGCCGAAACATTGCGTACCGTCAATTGTGCAGTTCTGAGCGAAAACCTTGGTTCTGATTACGTAACCTAGACGGGAGCCTGAGAAAAAAATAGACGCCATCGTGCTAAGTAACATCGTGCTCTCTAGTCAGCTTCCTTTTAACATTGTCCGCCATTACAGTTTACTTGGATAAACAAACCAGTCTATCGGGAGAAATACATCAGTTTTCAGCATCTGTTATATTCTGCCATGGTATTTTCCGTTATATAGTGATCAAGACAGATCTGTTGCTTTTCCCTTATGATGCTTCATCTTCCATCGGACGTCAGCGTCACTTGCACACCTATAAACAACGGTCACTTTCTTATGCTATAAAAAATAAGATATATTTGCCTAATGTTCTGTTTATCTACTCAAACTGATTATATACGCAGCGTAAGTAAGCTGTCAATTTGCATTAGGCTCGTAGAAAATCGTAGAAAATTTCAGTGATACTAAAAAAACAGCACATCATGAGCATGTGTAAATACACACAAGTCTCGATCATAATATATATATGTTTTGTATGGACTTGATCACATGGCGGTAGGTTAGGCTCAATTGATCACGGTTCAAATCGAAACATTGCTCATACATAAGATGTTCCATATATCAGGCGCTATTTACTACCTATCGTATTTTAGTAAGGCTGTTGTGTTGTCTTTCCATAACTATTGTTATTGATTTAGGACTATGTACTGTTATGTTGCCGTCTAGATATATCCGTATCATCGCCAAAGACCTTGTCTATGATATTTCATAAAGATTATTTATTACGTGCGACCGAACCAGCTGGTGAACATCCGACCCGGATTGGATATCGGCGGGTTTCCCAGTGGGAATCAGTCGAACAACTCCGGATGTTGTCGTCCAAAATACGATAAGCGTCAATGACACGAAGCAGTCAGCATTATCTAGACAAGTTTCTAAAAGTCCTACAGTTTGTTATGCAGACTGTTGTCTGCGCGCATGATAATCGAGCGTTCGTATTGCAGGTAGAAGACCCCAAACTGGTAGAAGAGGCACAAATAAGATGATCCACAAAGTCTCAAGTAAATGGAAACTGTGAAATCTTAAGTTAAATAGCTACATTTCCCGGGGCACAAGCAACCGAGCGAAATGAATAAATAGCAACAAATGATTAACAAGTGAAGACTTGTCAAGTTGTTGCGTTTAGGGATCTCGTAGCAAAATCGTACTGCTACGACATCTCGACCGAGTTTTCGATGGTGTGCTTACATGTGCTTGATGACTAACTTACATAGAACGTATATCATTAGTATCAGGTGAAGTGTTTACGTAGAGCTAGGTTAGCATCGGATACGTATCAATGTTGATTCGTGAAAAGTTGTGCAAATCGACTGCAATCTGTATAATCGTGCAACCAACAGAACAATAGGTAATAGTTGTCTTTGTTTAATAATTTCATAGTTCTGTGAACAAGATAGTAACAGCAAGATGAAGGTCTCTCCTTTCCTCTCTCTCACATAATATTATATATATATATGTATGAGACTACTTCGTCTCGTGTAGATTGGGCCCATAATCCAGCCACTTCTCCAGCAGAGCGCACAATGGCATCAGTTACCCTGCGCCCGAAACAGCGCTATACTTGCCCACCTAATAACAGAAACGAAAAGCAATTGCCGTGGGGAGAACAGATTCAGTCGGTCGGCCCTACAGCGAGTGGATAGCCATCTCAGCATCGTGTCGTAGGAGGCGTAGCTACAAATCGATCCTTCTCTACTCTCCCCGTTATATGTTCTCACGATTTTCGATCATTTCACGACAACTTTACCATTGCATTGGTAGAGACGCGCGGGCAGTCACCGTGCTCTATCGATCGGCCACTGAATGGGGTGAAAATCTATGGGCGCGAGAACGATTTCAAGTTGCAGTAACTCCCTCAACATCGAAAGCTTGACGAGAAGACGGCCACAACAGCAGCAGCGGCGGCAAATGAGAGACACTGGTAGTTGAACGGGCATTGCCCGTACGACCCCGTTCGTCTCAGCGGGTTCTTCCTAACGACGTCGCACATAACAAATTCTGACCTGTACTTAGGAATCTGAAGTCGGCATCCCTGAATCGTGAATATTAAACTGAACTCGCGCTAAGCTCGTCAGCTTAACATATTTATACATGTTACAAAGCAAATCTCTTAACTTAATCTCTAATCTTAATGCTTGCAAAAGTTTAGACAGGAATATATGCAAGGGTCTCTGAATACACAGAGCACTTAGAATGTTAGCCTGTGAAAGATCTTTTTTATGACCCTTGCCTCACAGCTATTGACTCGGAGGTCTTTTGGACACCGCTAGGCCGTAAGCTGCTATGTGTGCTAGCCTGAACCTTGCAACAACGCGCCCTCCAAGCTTGTGCGTTCGATATCATTAGCACATAGTGGAACTATTTTTCCTGCCACTGAAAACAAGTCCTTCTTTCCGGATAGAGTGTTTTACAGTGTTCTCTCCTGCTGTTCTCTATAATTCTTCTAGCCACTACAAAGCAGTATGCCTTTATTAGCCCTCCATCAGCAGTCCTTAGAATAACTTTTGTAGGCTCTAATCTTAATGGCAGTCACCCGAAGATCATCTATAATATTTGAAAAGCCAAGACGACTTCAGTATGACACGTCTGACCATAACAAATATCGTAATCGAGAATGTAAAGATCGGCCAATTCAAACATCATGCTTACTGAAGCAATATACTATTACCAATCAACGATGTAAAAAGCGATCATATATGTATATATATATATATATATATATATATATATATATATATATATATATATATATATAAAAGAACTTTATATATAAAGTTTTTTTTTTTTTTTATCATTAGCTGAAGTGGTTGGAGTAGTGAATATTATTGAACGCATACATGGGAAAAATGTCTGCATTGCACTGATTGCCTTTTTTCTGGTTTGGCTAGAAAGTCGCGTTAGGGAAAGAAGGGTTTGTTTTGCTTGTCACACGTTCAAACATGTTATATACATAATATAAACAGTTCTGAATAGATTTTGAAACAACCATAATTTTACACGGAAGCAGTTATGCTAAATACGAAGCCTCACCCCTTTTACTAAAAGCGTGTACACTGTGTGCACCTGATACGAATAGACCATATATGATATTTATTCCAGCTGTTATATGATAGTTCTTTTCGACGACTCACTGAAATCCGTCACACAAAGACGGATCGCACGATTTGGCGGAATCAGCCAAGTGTTGATCATGCGGAAACGGAGCCCCTTAAATGCTAAAGAACTTTTACTTGGATCAACCGGTCCAGCTTGGTAACGGTCGACTACTCTCCCTTCATCGTCGAAACTGATAGCCGACAATATGGACATTTTTTTAAATTAAAGCAACGATAAAGCACACACCCTTTCTAACTGTTGTCCCTTTAAAGTTATTGCCATCAAATTAATTGTGTATGTTCATGCAAATATTCGGAAGCGTTGAATTCTGATGCAGTAAAAGCACAGCCAAGCACAGACAGCGGGTCCGAGAACTTCAGAATCATAATGAAAACAGATTATATGTATTTCGTCGAACCCTGCCAAAAATGGTCATTAGTGACCCCAATGAGCCACGTAGTGATGGCTACGCTACCGTTAATCAAAAAAAAAAAACTGAAACATGAATTTCAGCATAAATGAAGTACCAGGTCGTTCATATCTCCTTACTTGCTGAAGCGTGACAATTGCAAAATTTCAGCGACGTCAAACGTATTGTTAATCATCGTCATAAAGCGCATTTTCAATAAATGAAATCTTAGCCAGTACGACAAACCGTTTCCCATTACCGACCGCAGAGAGTGCACATAATTTAGCACACAAAAGCTACCCAGTGCCGGGTGTGTCAGGGACGCCAATCAAGTATGAATGATGGTTCTCGTGATGCTTTAATGCTGGGAACCGTAGTGTGCTGCCGTATCTGCTCTGATCAATTTAGGATCCCTTGTTAGCCAACTTACCAAAACATATCACAAGACGTTGTGCCAATGGCCAGTATTCTACATACACATCAACTTCAAGCAGTCAACCACCGTTTCATATGTTAGAGAAAGATTCTGAAGGCTCTGACCGCACAGACTTCCTCCGTTCCCGCCGCGCTGTCCGATATAATAGGACGTGCACCGATTGCCATTTATATATTTGCAAAGTGAGGCTTCACGTCGTCACCCCTTCAGCCGTTGCTCACGAAGTGACGGAGCCAAACAGTTTCTTTTCGACACTTTTCTGAAAAAACCTTGGCTAGGACGCAGCTGCAGTCAAATAATTTGCTGGGCGCAATTACGGAAACGAGAACCAGATAGCGACGAGTCTCTTTCCCTCCCGCTGTAGTCGTGCATCATTCAGCCATCTTCGGGCTAGAACGTTACGTCGGGCTGATATATGCGTCGAATGCTGCCTTTGGCCTGGAGATAATTTATCGGCAACTCCGTTGACGATTCATCTTCACCTTGTTTTATTCTATTCTACATTATAGCATCGATATGGACGTGATATAAGGAAGACTTTAAACTAAAACAATCAACTCGCTGTTCTATTGGATTGTAATGATAACAATAGCACTATATATAAATTACTGACGATGATTATTTGGGAACTAGCTGGTCTATCGTGCCGACATGTTTCACGCGGGCTAGAGTAAATGACTAACAAATATATCTATATACCAGTATAGAAGGACGGTTTTGTTGCCTGTAACGTTGACGGCTGTGATTACAACTGAAATTGATACTGATGACCCGCAGATCAGGCTCATCTGCCCAGCATCGCCGATACCAGGCGGATCAATGGGAAAGAAACAGACAAACTGGAGATAGTTCGATGACAGCGATAGAGCTACAGTAGCAA